ATTACGCATATCAACTCCACTGGGTGCGCAAAGAGGCACGCATGTCAACGGTGCGCAAGGAGGCAAGATCATCAAAGAGTTGATTATGAAGTGAATGTAGAGATTCTAGCGCGCGAAGCTCGAACGTTTCGCGAGACTCCAAAAGCTTTTTATCGTTTTAGAAAACATTTGAAAGACTGCTACTCCATTAGTCAGCTAGAGCTCTAACTGGATAAATTCATTTCCAGATCAATGGCTTAAACACTTTGGACCTTTGATAAATCAAGCATTAAGCGAAAATCAAATAGCATAAATGTCCAGTAAAGCTTATTGTAACAACGGCTACCAACTGCAGAAAAATTTTTCGACGAGGTAGGAGCTCGCATGAACTGCGAATCACCAATGCGTATTTGTCTTTGAATTGTTCAACAATTCGTCTGTTAATAACAGTCGAATAACTTTCAAAGCCTCATAAACCGTGACTAGATGATAGAAAAGGCTGAGTAAACAAGTGAAATCTGGCTAGTAGCAGATACAAGTATAAAGGTCATCAAAAGTTCCGTTGAAGAGTAGTTCTTCGAAAAAGTACAACAATTCATGACGAAAAGTTAAGGTACTTTATTCTCTATCTTGATTTTTAACTCAAATGCGAAACGAAGAAATGACGACTAAGGTAGATTTCAACCCTAAGGTAGATTTATTAATACGGGTTTGTCGCGTTTGAGGTTGATTTCTACCTCAAAAGAGATTTATCCATGAAAGAAGTTTCTTGCGATTATGTTGCGAATACCGCTTAAAAGCTACCAGTGCGTCACTCTGCTTCGCAGGGGCTCGCACTGGCTCTACTATCTAGGCCCTACTCATTCTCGCGTAATGATGACATTGGAACTCACCGAGCAATGCCGACTATCACGAACAAAATGTAAACAACTACTCATTCCGAAAGCTTTTTTATGTGAAATCGTGATTTCGCGTGGATGAGACTTTTTGCAGGAGAACAAACGCAAATTTTTATAGGTTTTTGATTTTTCCATGGTCTTGACAGCTGCAATAACAACAGCAGTCACCGTGAGCTAGATCTTTGTGCAAAAATTTCGTCAAATGCTTTGGCAAAACCTTGACAAATTGACCATTTACACAGCCAATACTGTTTGGCGTTGGCGCGCAGTTTCTGAGGGATCCACTCAACAGATCTGCTCGTGCTTTTGCGTGTTGAACTTTCATGCGGGTAGCATACGCTGTGCAAAATTTGAGCCCAGGAAGTTGGCTGGAATACGCTCTAGGAATTTCGTAACACACACACACACACACACACACACACACACACACACACACACACACACACACACACTTCGTTAGCCCGTTATTATGAGTAAATGATAGCCCGTAGTTCAAACTTTGCAAAAAATCGATAAAATGGATAAAAGTAATTGATAATCTTGAAAACTAATATTGTATTCGGAATCCCCATGCTCGATATTACCCCCCTGTGCAAACTCTAGCCCCGTAATACAAACTTTGCAAAAAAATCGATAAAATCGATAAAAATTAACGATAATCTTGAAAACTAATATTGTATTCGGAATCCCCATGCTCGATTACCCCCTGTGCAAACTCCCAGCCCCGTAGTTCAAACTTTGCGAAAAAATCGAAAAAATCGATAATTTTGAAAACTAATATTGTATTCGGAATCCCCATGCTCGATTACCCCCCTGTGCCAACTCCCAGCCCCGTAGGTGAACTCTGCAAAAAAATCGATAAAAATCGATAAGATATCGATCGATGACGAAAAGTAGCCTATGACACCTGCCGGGGCCCGAAGTGTATGTGTGCCAAGTTTGGTCCGGATCGGCTCAGAAATGGAATTTTCCATTCGGAACATACGTACAGACAGACAGACAGACATACATACAGACATACAAACAGACATTCAGCTTTATATATAAGATGAAGGTTCTCATACCCTAATTTCTGCGCATTATGGATGCCAGGTTATTGCCATACAAGATTAGATTTTCACAACTTTGTGTGATCCCCCGGAGATCCCCAGGGTATCACCTCTCATTTTCAAAGTCGTTTCTTTCATCAAATTCGATGAAAATGTTCTAAATTTGTGCTGAGGATATAACATGGTCTTGCTAAACATGTCCATAGTAGAAATAAGGGAAATCTCAGGATATCGAAATTTTCGATGAACTGCTGCTCGCGAGCCAGGGATTATCGAAAAATGGTAATCTCCAGATTCCATTTCTTCTGTCAAAAACATGCTTAGCAGTGCCGTGTATATCCTCAGTACAACTTTACAGCATTTTCATAACGTATTCAGAAAGATAAATGACTTCGAAAATGAGAGGTGATCCCCTGGGGACACACACACACACACACACACACACACACACACACACACACACACACACACACACACACACACACACACACACACACACACACACACACACACACACACACACACACACACACACACACACACACACACACACACACACACACACACACACACACACACACACACACACACACACACACACACACACACACACACACACACACACACACACACACACACACACACACACACACACACACACACACACACACACACACACACACACACACACACACACACACACACACACACACACACACACACACACACACACACACACACACACACACACACACACACACACACACACACACACACACACACACACACACACACACACACACACACACACACACACACACACACACACACACACACACACACACACACACACACACACACACACACACACACACACACACACACACACACACACACACACACACACACACACACACACACACACACACACACACACACACACACACACACACACACACACACACACACACACACACACACACACACACACACACACACACACACACACACACACACACACACACACACACACACACACACACACACACACACACACACACACACACACACACACACACACACACACACACACACACACACACACACACACACACGTAAACAACCCTTAGCCCGTTATTATAAGTTATGATATAAAGGTTCTCATGCCCTGATACCTACGCATAGTAGATGCCAAGTTACTGCCATACAAGATTAGATTTTCACCAGTTTGGGTGATCCCCAGGGGATCACCAGGGGATCACCCAAACTGGTGAAAATCTAATCTTGTATGGCAGTAACTTGGCATCTACTATGCGTAGGTATCAGGGCATGAGAACCTTCATATCATAACTTATAATAACGGGCTAAGGGTTGTTTACGTGTGTGTGTATGTGTGTGTGTGTGTGTGTGTGTGTGTGTGTGTGTGTGTGTGTGTGTGTGTGTGTGTGTGTGTGTGTGTGTGTGTGTGTGTGTGTGTGTGTGTGTGTGTGTGTGTGTGTGTGTGTGTGTGTGTGTGTGTGTGTGTGTGTCTGTCTGTCTGTCTGAATCTCTTTCTGTCACGAAAATCATGGAGCGAGTTACAGCGAATTTCTTGATCCCAAATTTTGCACAGCACATGCTACTTACATGAGAATCCACTGTACAAAAGCACGAGCGGATCCGTTGTGTGGATCCCTCAAAAAATGCGCGTCAATCGGATCCACTTGGCTTTTGGCCATAAAATTGAGCCTGTAGCACAACTTTTTGCAAGGTCACGGATATGTTTGACAAGTTAATGTGCAAACGATGGACTTTAGCTTAAAAAACTGACCTAAAGTCTATTACTTTGCGAGAACGGGGCCAAAAAGTATAGGCTGCGTAAGTGTTCACTTTGCCAAGATTTTACCCGATCATTTGAAGAGATTTTTGCACAGAGATGTAGCCCACGGTGATGTTGTATCTCATGGCGAATACCAAGCCATGAAAACTCCAAAGAGCGATTCAAATCAGCATTTGTTCCTTTGGGAGAAGTTTCATTCACGCGAAATTACCGATATCATATGGAAAAGCTTTTAGAATGAATAATTGTTTGCAAATCATTCGTGATAGTCGGCATAGCGCGGTGAGTTTCATTGTCACTTTTGTGCGGGAATGAGTAAAGCATAGCAGAAAATAGGGCCAGTGCGAGCCTCTGCGAAGCAGAGGTGACGCATTGGTTACAGATAAAGAAGGAAAAAGAAAGGTATAACGAGTAGCGAAATATGAAGCTTCCCCTCTCGATCCCCTCCCCTCCCCGCGGGATGTACGTGCATACGGGCCTTTCATTCCGTTCACTAGCAACAACTCAAAATATCTTCGACACATAAGCATATCAAATGCGTTATACGCTGCAGCCATAGGTGACATGTGCCTAAGATATCAATAGTCCGATATAGAATGAACAGGCGACAACAACGCAACAACAGGTATTCACACAGGCGTTGCTATCATCGCAGCAAACTTCAAATTTTCAGATAGACGAAAAGATCCCATTTTCATATCGTATGAAATACTGCGCCGCATACTGCCTTCACAGCAAACTTTACATCTTGCAAAAAGGATGCACAGTTACAGTGAACTACTTTAACTTTATTCAGGTTTGCAAAAATGGCAAAATTCTGCAAGACTTGAAAGCTTGTTATAATCTGTTTTAGTGAATGAGAGGCAAAGTTGCGCGCTTTCAAGAAGAAAGAAAAACAATTTTACTGTCGTCTTATCGGTTTGGCATTGGTACATGAAGTTGCTGCGTCCGTTGTTTTGCATTATCGATCAGAACAATGCCAAATGTCGATATATTGTTTTGAAACCCATCGTAGTTGAAGCGCCGTCTCATGAGGCATCAAGGTGCGCAGAGCATCACAGTAGATTTCACAGGTGGCGGGCGACCACGTACAGTGAGTTAGTCGGTTTATTATATAAAGATTATTTACCGGTAATACGCCTTTGAGCTAATTAGAGTGAAGAAATAAATAAGTTTATCTTAAGTTTGAGAATTTCGTAGAGTTTGTGCTTATAATTTTCAAGCATGGCGACAGCTGTTCAGTGTTGTATGATAGATCCAAGAATGTTTATTAACGTCTACAGTATCTATTTGCGTAAGTACTGACAGAATGTGTCAAACTGGTCTTTGCCCAGATCTCCAGATTTTATCTGAACCAGAACGCGTTTGACGGACTTCTAAACTTTAAATGATCTTGAACGATACTTTTCATGTATGACATACTCGTTTCCCCTTATCGTCTATGTAGACAAGATTGTCTCTTCTCTTCGAATATGTCCCAATAAACTTTGGAGATTTTGGTTCAGCCACGTCACTGTAATCACCTTTATTGAATAATCTCTCGTAAAGATTTCTTCCTTACTATTTGATCGTAACAAGTATACTATCTCCAAACTGTACAAGAACGCACTTACTGTCGGCCATCGCGTCAACCAACCGTTTTCTTACAAAGCTAAATGTGATAACTTTAGCGGTACTGGGGAAATGCTTCTTTGCTCACGCTCGAAAATTTTGATGAAGAAGGTAATACTGATGCTTGCATTTTTCTGTGATCCCCGAACTTGTGGCGAAAACCACGCAGTCCTTGCCTTCTTGGAACTCTCCAAAGGTTACCTGTGCTTGATCAGTCCTGAAGCAATTTTGTGAGCTGCTTACTGAGCAAAAACAAAATGGTTAGCGTTAATGTCATGTTTGCTTGAAGTGCATAAAGTCGCTTCACTCTTTATGGCTATTCCATAATGATAACCAATCTTTATTATTAACTAGCTGGCAAACCCGGCTCCTCCCGGCCCTGTCAATAATCTATTCGTAATCATCATGTTCACTTACCCCCTCTGCCAACACCCAGTCCCGTGGCCCAAATGTTGCAAAAAAAATCAATAATCGGCATCGATTGACGGCGGAAAGTAGCCTACGAGCGAGACCTGTCCCGCCTCGAAGTGCGTGTGAGCAAAGCTTGGTCCGGAACGGTTCAGAAACAAGAATTTCTATTCGTAAGATGCTACAGACAACCAGACAGCTTTATATACATAATAGCTGACTTACCCAGCTCCGCCCGGCCCCGTTGAAACACTATGATAAACGTCCCCATCCCTCCTGTACGATATCCGGTAAGCAACAAACGTTGAGGGGCTCGTTAGCCGTGGAGAGCACCAGCACATACTACAGACAAACAGCATTCGGCTTTATATACATACTAATCAACCATGGATGGCATCTCAGATCGCCCATCTTTGTCAAGAGTCATCGTTGTCGGTGTTATCCTGACTACAGCTATTTTCATTTCATATTCACCTAAGCTAGGACAGCTACACAAGCAACATTCCTAGCGATTGGGCTAGTCTCTGGAGTGGATCTTCATCACTTGGCATAACAGAGGTGATACAAACATTAAATTATATTACTATTGCCTTTGTGACAGAAGTGAGTCTGTATAGTTCTATAGGTCCGTTACAATCCTTCTCTTAATAATGCGTAACTTTCTAGCTAAGCGCTTGTAGTACTCCTTGTATCACTAAGGAGGGAGGAATGATGAACACAAAAGAGCCTTTTCTATTGACTATATATTCTGAGTCGGAACATATATTTGGCAGTAAAAGGCTTTTCGTGCCTCAGCACTAAACAGAACTTCTGACCGTTAGTGCGTTAGTACGTTAGTCTAGGCAGCGAAAAGCACGAAAACAGGTCAGATTGAGTAAATGAAGGTGTAAACTGAGGTTTTGACGAAAATCGGATAACTCATTGTCCGCGCGGCATCCTTTAGCAGTTATGTTAGCTGGAGAAAGCTCCTTTCAAATCTATAGTGATGTTCTGCATTTTGCGAGAACTAAAATGACGATTCTAACTTGATTGCGAAGTTGTCAGATATATTAGCCTCTCATTCCTTACTTGCTCTGTTATCGCTCTACTATGGCCGTATTCATTAATCACAGTGGCAGGCTCGATGACAAGACCGGTAGTTATGAAGCCAGATTTATAACTCAGTACTAAGTTTACCCTACCCACCTAGCGCTCTGCGGCTAACGGAGCCCCTCAGCGTTTGCCGCTTACCGATTCTCTACCTGTAAACCTTTCCCTGTGCCCACTTCTATATGAGTCAGCGTGCTCACTTACCTTCAACCCCCCTGTGGCAACTCTCAGCCCCGCAGGTCAATCTTTACAAAAAATCGATAACATCGATATTGATCGATAAAGAAAAGTAACCTACGACACCCGTCCCATTCCGAAGTGTACGTATGTGTGCCAAGTTTGGTCCGAATCGGTTGAGAAATGGAATTTTCTGTTCAGAACGTACGTACATACAGTTTATTTCTACAGAGTGTCCGTAAAGTATGTAGACACTGTTTGATCGTTAATATCTTTCTTCCCAGCAAGTCTTTTGCCTTGCTTCAGGTACCGTTTTGTAGAGCTGGCTTCAACTTAGATTTACAGTATGGAACAGTTCACTCATCTCTCTTCATTAGTGTAGGATTACGGTAGAAACTTGAAACATATCGCAATGTGGAAAAAGCTGCCGTTTCTCCCTCAAAGCCGCTCTATCTTCTGCCATCCTTTGGAAACACGATTTGGCAGGGTAGGCACCGAATAAGATTGGAGAAGTCTTCCTTGTGCGCAAAAAATGGCCATCAAGGTGGCTACAGACTTTTCACAAAGCTATATAGTTAGCTGTAGGGAGCAGATTAAGGACAACGGAAAGACTCAAATTTGTTACTTTCATAAGATATTGCCACAGCAAGGGTGCTACAGTCATTTTTCGCATTCGAAAAAATAGCCTTAATAAGAAATCCAACGAGAAGTCTTTTTCAAACTCAATACACAAAGCTACATGCTACTAATTCGAAGCAGCATTTTCTGGTGTTTATTACAAATGACTGAGCCGCTAACTTTTACCCAGAAACAGGTTTTGAAAGGCTCGTTGATGCATCGCAAATACATAACTAATTATTTTTCATTGAGAAGGTTATACCAACATTACTGCGACTGGTTTGAAGATGCGATAGTTTCCGATATTGTCCACGTCCAAGTAATACATATTACCTTCACGAAGCTTGGCAGGGATCATTTGCTAAAAATAGCAGGTCTAACGGACGACTTAGTGCGCAAAGCTTACTGGATGCTTTGAGTAATCCTGTCTGTTTATTTGACATTGGACTATGCAAATTGTAACGAGCAGCAACAGAATGGAATTTCCCATAGCAGTAAAATAAAACTTACTTAGATATTATTCCCATGTGAGTGGGTGTTATCTTATCAAGCCATTGCTCATGTAAGATGATTCATACTTGTCCTAAGGACAAGTATGAATCATTTGCTTGGGCTACTTTTGGCGAAATATCAGTGCAATTTCTGCCTATCACCAACCTTCTTGAGGACAAAGCATTTTTTTGCTAAGTACGGGAAAATTGCATCAGTACCACACAGGCATCAAAAAGTTGTTAGATTTTTCGGGTGGAAGCATTTGGATCGAGTCAAAAGCATCGTAGGTGGACTCTGGGCTCTACATCTCCTTCGAGCGCGTGCTCTCTCTTTAATCATTTCTTAGTTTATTTGGTTTGAAGCTTCCTCCTTCCCCTCCACATGCCATCCTCAGTGAAATAAAGGGTATGTAGCAGTACATCTGCAAAACTCTAGTACACCTTGTCGCTTGTCAGCCTGTCGCTCATCAAAGCTACGTTCTCACAACACAACATCTTGCAAGCATGAGAGCACGCTTTTCATCGCTTCTTGTCGGCAGAGAGAAGGCGAGGCTTGCCTTGGTGCTGTGGTCCTTAGAAGTTCAAGCATTTTATGCCTTCTGTCCTACTCAATATCGGGATAACTATACCGTGCGAGCTAATCGCTAACAGCACCTTTAGAATGTCAAGCCTGAATTTAGTTCTAGACAAACACCTAATGTAAGAGAAAGGAGACATCAACCGTTTTCTGTTGACGTGCTTTATCGCTCACCATTCGCCACTTCTGTTTCGCAAATTCTCAAAGTTGACAAAAGCAAGAGAGCAAGTTTATCTGCAAAACAGTCTCAACTTTGCATGACCTGGCAGAGACAAGATTCATTTCAAAGGCATAACAAGGGGAGCTAAAAACGTTGTTTTGGGATATGTTCGCCAGCAGTATCGAATATCGTAGTTGATTGATTTAACGATGATTTAGGTTTGTTTACCCCACTGTTCCCTTTGTTGGTAGAGGAAGATGCTAAATATTGCGCTATTTGAGAATGCTTCACAAAGCTGGCTTAACAGCTGGCCCACCCTTCTTCTCTTCCCTTGGTTATTGACTGAGGGTATTACCATCTAACGCTTGCGTGCGAAACAGAGCTGCAGAGTTTCTAAAAGGGAAGAATACCGACTCAAGTCGGCGATTGAAAACGAGTTGTGTGTCGCTAGAGTTCTAATACGCTGATTCCAGATCTGCTTTCCTTCCCTGCGGAGCAACCTTTCAAAAGAAGTTACGAGTTTGATAATTGAGTCAAGCTTTGAGTAGCATGAAAGTGAACGAACACCTCTACAAAAACACCTGAAAGTAGACAATTATTTCTGCTCAAATAAATTGACTGCAAGGAAGGAACATAGCTAGTGGAAGCATAGGTGTTTTGTACAGACTTTCGCCGATTTTATACTTCTAAGGCTTGACGAAATTGGGCATTCATCTCCACGACTTTATCCGGAGAATCGCATTCCAAAAAAGACAGATTTGATCATCTTTTGAAGGCGCTTTCAGTGAAATAACTCTCCTAGTCTCCAGCCTTAAGTCGGTGTCAGGGTCAAGTGTGGGGTGTGGTAGGCCACACCTGAGGAGTCAAATCGCGAAGTTAAAAAGAATAGGGGGTCGTAACCAAGTGATACTGACAGTAGCGATAACATGATATTCGTAAACGGTTTTTCAGATAATTCCATTACGCAAAATACACGAAGTAATGACTTGTCATCGTATACCTATACCGTAGCATGATAAAGAGACCCTATTAAGCATAACGAGTAATATATTTACCAGCACGTCAAACAAGCTTGTGAACCAAATTTGTGCGAATTCTGATTTTCCAAATATTGCGCTTATAGAGTGAAATGGTCATATTTGCACATGATTAACTTTGTCTCAGAGGTGTCTCAGCTTTTCTTTTGAACCCATTGTAATGCACTACTTTTTATGTGCACTGCAGAGTCCCGCTTCCGGCTAAAATCACTTCTGCGAAAAGTGTGGAATTTACGCTTCAAGTCATATAAATATCGTTCGCTGAGTATGTTTTTTGTGACATAGTCAATGGAATTTCAGCACACCCATTGACTCACCATTGAAGACTCGTTAAAGAGACTTTCGGCACCGGCATTTTTGGCACAATATCATTTTATTGTGGCTATGACAGTATCTTTCACTGACCCTTTCGGGATGTACTGTTTCTGGCACTTGACGTCAGAATGGATAGTCACTGACTTCGCCTTTCCAGGTTTTGAAGAAGGCGCGGATTGCCGAAACGTCGATGTCAGCCAATAAAGTTAATATACTAATCTTGGTCAAGCCCAGCAAGTATCGATAAAGTTCTTCATCCCGGGTTCTAAGATGGAAAGCGCGCTACGCTTGAATGATTATCTACACTGGCGCGATCGCGGCGCAAACGATGAAATTTAGAAATGGAGAGGCATTGGTGAAATGCTAGATTGATAGAAATTCACCGTATCAATATGGGCTTGGCAGAACATTTATTGCATCAAATTGCGACATGAAATGCCCACATTCAGAGAAAAGGGAACCTGGAGCTTAATCAACAAATTTTCAGATGGAGTAACATGCGTTTCTCGTCCGCCATTCATCTTTCCGTACATGAGCGTACTCCGGCTCAAAGTCAATGCCAAAAATTACAATCTTCACTTTGTTAAAAAATTACAATCTTTACTTTTGTTTTGTCGCTTGTTAGTTCATCGAAAATGCTAATTCTCTCAACCGGCCAAATCGTAGCGTTTCAAATCATATGGCGATCAAGATATTATCACCTACCAAAAAAACGAAGATAATTTAGTATTCACTATAGTGATACAATTGTGTTTCGTGCCGCCACATCTCTGCACAAAATCTATTGTGTCCACTGTACAAGAAATGAAAGAAATTGCTTGATTATGCGGAAATCGGATTGCGCAAATTGAACGCTCATTTTCGTGCCGTGGCTGTTATGAATGTTTCAAAATATCGAGTATTTGCTTAGACAATGTCCTCCGCACAATGGTCTTGGTCCAATGCTCCAATTATTTAGTGCTGCACCAAACTTTAGACTGTAATCAGACTGTAACTCTCCAAACTGTAGTAAGTGTTAATCCGTTTTATCTCAGTAGATTGCATCAGTTGCGTTGACAGAACTTTCACTGGTCAAAAAACAAAAACGTTTTATATACTTTGTCATAAGCCACTCAGGTTTGTTACGATGTTTATTTGGTCTAACGTTTCGGCAATTATGTCTTCCTCAGAGACCTGGAAGAAAGTCTTACACTTGTTTTTCACACTATGCTGTCAAATCTCTCCCCTTGACTAGTTAGTTCGATGCCTTACAGGTAAACGCGTTAAGATCCTAGAACTGTAAGTAGCCTACCGTAACTTCCACCGATAGCGCGACTGTAGATATTCAACTGCCACTGATGGTAACTGTGTCCGTCCAAAATGGTCAGCATGAGTAGTGGCCGTATTTACGTGACAGTATGATAGAAATGGCATCAAGTCACTGCTCAGACATTCGCCATTGAGTCCCGCAGGACAAAATGAGGTCTAGTCACGGAATGCCTGCGCGACTCCCGAAATCGGTGTCGGGACAAAATCAGGACACCTGATTTTGTTTCGGGACAAAAGTGTGCGACAAAATCAGGTGTCCCGACCGACACATTGCGGACAAAATCGAAACACCTGCGGGAAACATCATAATGTCCCAATCGCGTTCAAAGCATGCGGTCTACGCCCTGATAAACTGATTTTTGCGTCCTCTATCCTTTCTCTTACGCCTCCTTCTTCACATACCTTGTGCCCTTGGTCTCTTTGGCTCTCAATTCTCACGCTTGTTATTTTTCTGCTCGTAAAACTCAGTCGAACGTCAACGAATTTATTAACATAAACCACATAACCTTCTCGGCAGGATTTACAACAAATGGAAAAATATAATGCATAGAAAGCAGCGAACATAAGGTTCAGGAGCTCTACACTACGACACGAAGATACGAGAGAAATGCAGCAATAACAAAAATGTAAATAATATTATCAGGCTTCTTCAATCTCTTCAATTTCATCTGCAACGCATTCAGCCTTCTTAATCACTACTTCCTTAGTGATACTGTTGCTTTCGATGCCTTCGCTGACGACACGCTTTTTCTGAAAATAAAAAAATTGTTAGCACCTCAAACATATAAAACAACTAGCTGCGGTTCCCGGTCCCGCCCGGGCCGAGAGTCCAGAATGGCCCAGCATAGGGGGTGTGCTTCAAGATGTATACTTACCAGTCCTCCACTTTCTTCAGTTCACATCTTCTGTGACTCTCCTGCTTCACCTCCTTGTCAGTTCCAGCGCTCGTGTAGTATCCGTGGTGAATAGTCTTCTTTCTTGACCGGCTCGCTTCATGACACCGCATGCTCCTCACCGCAAAATGTAAATGATCTCTACCACCCCTTACTACTTAAGTTGGAGAAATGAATGGTATAGCCTTCATTTTCCTAGATATTAGTAAACAAAATCAATAAATCGATAGAAGGACCCAGCGAATTGTCGAAAAAAGTAGCCTATCTGATGCGCCGTGTCTCATTTATAGGGAAACAAAATTCAGCCTCTTTGGTTCACATACAAAAGAGTCTATAAGCCACAAACATCCTAACAAACACGGTACAGTGTTTGAGTTTTATATATATATATAGATGAGTCACCTTTGACGGAAGAAGCGCGTCTCTTTCAGGATCAAAATGGTAAGTGCGGATGTCTGCGCTGCAAAAGTACAGTTCAAAAGTATCGCTTCTTTTAACAGTGTGAAAACTCACAGTGCTCTCCCTATTGCTATTCTTGCACGGCCGCTCCAATCCACTCTTGCCTCCGAGAGCTTGTTAAAAAATTTCTCGCGAGCGTCGTCCTCTTCTCCTAGGGACATCCACCACCTAAACTCTAGTACACATGAGTCTTTCGAGAATATACATACCTGTTTGGATTTTGCTTATGTTCATTTGGGGTTTCAATTCTAAAAATTTATTTCAATTACCTTCAATTCTAAGATACAAGGGCCATGCTTGGGATCTTAAAAGTGTAGCTTGACAAAAGTATAGATAGAGACAGTAATCAACTTGGTCAATCTTTTGAACGTCACCCCATCCGTGCTCAAGGTGAGGACAACTTAGTTGTGGACATAAGTAACTCCTTCATGGATGCTCTTGTGCTTTGCTATGAGCTGATGGATTCTTTTTCAAGACAATTCGCAATTGAGGAGCTAGATTGACAAGATGGAGACACGCTCTTTTGGCCATATGGGACCGTTTGGGTGTGATGCTGCAGTGTAGTAGTTATGAATCAGCATTAGAGTCTAAACAGTGTATGAACCCCTTCAAGGAGCATCCTGTCCGGTTGCAGACAGATGTTTTGTCTCTAAGGTTATCACAGCATCCGTTGCAGAAAAAATAGCGAGCATACTCATAAGGAGAAGTTCGGCCTTCAAAAAATTAACATCGGGCTCAAAAGTGCACTGAAATAGACTCGATTGATTATTTCGATGGACTGATTCGATCGACACACCTTGTTCGACGGCGCTCGGCTCCTCATTTCAAGGAGATCCAGATCCAGATAACTCTCCATAGCATCTGTCATGCCAAAATACAATGAATAGTTGGCACAGATGAGCGCCTCGTTCTCCTCGACATGAGGTGATGCCCGCTCTAGAGGCTGAGAATCCGTATCAATTGCTTCTAAAGGGCCTTGTGAAGAATCGTGGAAAACATCCATGCTTGTCAGATAATGAGTGTGCACAGGGCTTTCACTGCTACTATTTCCAGCATTCTCAGATGTGGATAGAGCTGTTTCGGAGATGTCCTTTCCCAATTGTGAACGGATTCGCTTGGACGAAAGATGCTGGAGCTCCTCTAAACAATTACTTCATAGAAGTAAGTCAAATCTCTCAAAAAGGTCGCCGGCCTACCATTCAGAATATGTTTTGTTTTTCTATGATGTCTAATTTTGCTTTCATCCATTGAATTCTTAAATTACTACTAGCATAAAAGGATTTCCTCACAAGATAAGAAACCCTGGTGAGCTGAGCTCTTATGACGAAATCAATATCAGTAAATGAGCCTGGGAATGCTGATTCACGTGATTATACAAGAGTGTTCATGACGCTCGCGCAGCAAGTGTTCATGTACACTGTGTCCATGACCATGTACATGGTGTACACAGTGTATATGTCATGTACACTGCCGCAGCAAAATTCTATTGTGTTTACTGTTAGTTTGTTTCTTTCCTTGATGTTTGGGTTATCTTTAAGTAGTGAACATCTCTTTATAAACATCCCTGTAAGTTCTCATCACTGGTGATCAAATAAAAGCATTAGGTAAATTGAGAGATGTAGCTCGATGTGAGGGTTGAGTGAATGACAACGTGGAGGACGGCCTCTACAAGGCGCAATAGTAATTGAAAAAAAAACATAAACATGATGTCATGAGGTGGAAAACTAATATAATATTAATGAAGTACTGAAAATCACAATGTTATAAATTTTTACCTTTGAAAAGCCAGCATGAGGGGTTGAAATGGACGTACAGTATTTGGCCAACGTCCATCGGCCAAAAAATAAGACGCTTTAAACAAACAGAGCCTAAACCTTTCTAAAAGGCCTTGTTTTAGCCGTTTTTTATGTACTAGCAAAAATAAAATACCGCGTTTTTTCTAACTAAAATTTTAGAATTTAGTCTCGCCAAATTACACCTAACCCAAGTATACAGAGATCGGCTACCTTGCAAAATACTTACACTCCTAGAGCCTTAAAAAATAATTTCAACAGCATAGGGATTCACCGTAAAAACAATTCTGAAGTTCTCAGAGGGAAGAGAGGATACTCAAATAAGAAAGAAATTTGATTTTTTTTCGTCCTGATAGTACTTCTAAGAAAATGCAGCGAAAACAAAGGCCTTTCAACAAGTTTTAGGCTCTGTTTGATCGGGGCATCTTATATTTCGGCCGATGGGCCAAATACTACATCGTTGACATGAACTCATTACTGCTGGCAGTTTGAGCATTGCAAACCCCCTTGCAAAAAACCTGGACTTACCTAGGGTGCAGGAATAATGGTAAGCCTGGCTTATGTGTGACTCAGGAAATAAGAGCAGAGCTTCCTTGGAAGTTGAGTTGAAAATGAAACTGACGGCAGCAATACAGAATGAACTCAATAATTTGATGTTGTACTCGTTCAAACATGCGCCCGCGCTTCGGGACAAAGTCGCACTAAAATCGGGATGAAGCTGAAATGATGACTCCCGCCGGTGCACCGGATTTTGGTGCGACACCTATTTTGTGGGCGGATCTCCTGCGGGAGTCAATGGCGAGTGACTGAGTGGTGATGGAGAGTTGTTCATTTTTTCCGTTTAATTTCGGTTCGCGCGAAAGAATGTATGCTGCTTCAAGCGCCTTGCGAGCAGCGATTCTCGATTCGTAACCCAGAATAATGCATCTGATGTTGTAGTCATTACCGTTGTGATCTACTTTTCTATGTTTCCCTAGCGGACTTGCCATGCTTGCCTGCCTTTCACTGGCCAAGTGCTCATTAACACGTACGCTGAGTTGTCGACCAGTCTCCCCTATGTACGTTGCGTGGCAATCTAGACATTCGATTTCGTAAACAATGCCAAACTTAGCACAGTCCCCCGTTTTTCCGTATGGACAAATAACGCAGTTCATCGTAACACAAGCTGTGTCGTATAAACGTTTTATTTGCTTTATTGCTGACCACAAAGGATTCTCTGCAATATAACGTCCCTGGTTAGATGAAAACATTTTTGACACATCTGATTTTTGCAAGGAGCTCATGCCATCACTTTAATCGCATCGACCAATGGTGAGACTTTTATGGGGAGATGGATAGTGCTGGATGTCAGCTCGAAGTTGACTTGCTTCTACGAGACTTATAAAAGATGAATATAAATTTAAATCTTAGCGCGAGTTTTTCCATGCTTTTACAACATTACGTTGACTTTTCTTACTGTGGGATATTTAACACTTTACAGCCTATTGCGGAGGCAATTTTTCTTACAATGCGACCGACTTCTCCTACGGCAAAATTTACTGATGTTGATGCTGGTGAAGATACATATTATTATGTACTCCTACAGAGGTGTACTGTTTTTGAAGGAGAAAAACCAGATGCGGATCTTCTTGCCAGTATTGAACATTCTAAGGAGGATGACCGCTTGTACTATGCCAACGATAACATTAGTGATACAGTATTTAATCACTTTAGCATTGGCTTTGTGTAGTATGAGTTTGAAGCTTGCATTGCTTGATCTCGAAATGAGACCTAAACATATGTAGTGCTTATCTATGTATTTAAATCTCAAAGTTGTTTGTTTGTTGATAAATATGTTTTTATACAAATTTTTTCTAAGTGGACTAAAGTGCTGAAACTTTGCACTCTTATGTTCTCGATCCCCGCGCATAATAGGCTTCTTTTCGCGGCGGATCACTAGGTCCTTCTATCGATATATTATTTGTTTACGTGTTCACATGGAAAAAAACTTATCATGTTCTAACCGAGCATATTCCCGTAATCATTTAAACGGGGCGGTAAAGCCTATTTTAGTCACAAGATCACTAGGATGCGGAGAGGTGGAGATGTCCCAAGGTAAGGTCATCCATAACATGGAAGGAGAGGGGTCTCGCTGCAGTTCTGTGCTGGGACCATAACAGCATCATCTCTCCCCAATGAACAATGGCCCGGGCGGGATCAAGAAAGCCGGCTAGTGATGAATAAGTTTTGATCGGCTCAAAAAATCATACTCCCTGACCTTATTAAGGTTTTGATGTGGTCGTAGTATTTCAAAGTTCGTTCAGAGAGGGTGTAGGTGGAATTCTGAAAATGACTGCATGCCAGAAAGTGATTTGTTTTAAAAGATGCGCTTTATACCATTGACTTTATGCTACCGCATGCACTTGAAGAAGTTCTCTCAATGCTTTCTGGTACTTATGTGGATCACGAGAGATTATTGGGATTTCAACTCGTGTATAATGAGATGATGTAGAACTATATCGTAGTCCTGAGAAAGGATGTTTATTGTTGAAGGGTCCAGATTGCAGAGGGGGTTCTCGTGATCTGGTAAATTTGAGGATTATGTATATGTAGTAATCTGATTAAATAATAGTGGGCGAAAGCTAATCTTTAGTAAGCCCTTAATTCAACTCTGACGTCATTTCACAAGTAACAGGTAGACTAACACGTTACAAACAGGATAAGCGCTCAGAACTGGGGCACAAGATTTCAACGTGTTGAAACACAACTTTTATGCACAAAAAATAAATAATCAGTTTGTTTACAACCGGTAAGCAAAATTGAGTCACCAAATTTGGTGTGAAGCTTCGCGATTACGATCAAAAGGAAAGTGTGGAAAACTATGAAAAATTTATGTGAATGAAAAGAGTTGTACATGTTTTTCTAATTTAGATTGCTCCCGCGCAACCTGGGAGCACCCTGAGGTTGCGCGGAGCCAAACAAAGCCATAATTTTCTCCCTTCTTCACATGATTTTTCAAAATTTTTTGCATAAATCTATTCTTCAGTTCGAGCTATACCTGAGTATACTTATCTTGACCCAAATTTTGTCTCATCTGCTTTGCTACGGCCCTTGAATCATATAAAAACCGCTTTTTTCACTTTGATGTTTTATCTCCGAATTTTCTTGTCTATTTTTGACTTCCATTCACTCATCGTTTGTTGCAGGTTATTAGCCGTATTTCTATAAACACCACAAAAGGCATCTCGCAATCATCTGAAATGTCAAGGGGGACTTCGTTTTCAAGATTCTCAAACGCCACCTCTTGCTGGGCCCTGGTTCGAGATCATACACTGGAAGGAAATATGTTGACCCAGGCCTATTTGCTTTTCTTTGGCTTGCTCATGGTTTTGATTCGCTAAGGTGTAAGCAGACAGTAAGCATTCTTGCTTGTAAGCTATATTGCACAATTGCCTCAAATCTATCTTCAGAGATTTTTCGCGAATGAGTTTATTTTGAGTGAAGGACATTGCAGTTGTAGTAACAAAGTAGAAGGTGTTAATCAATTTTTGATCTAGGAGGTGGGAGTTGGTACAGGGAGGTAAAGACAGCTGATTATGAATGGAAATTTACTTAATCCATTTTACCGATTTTTGGAAAATCTTGAACTACGAGGCTGGGAGTGGTACGGGGGGAGAGGGTATATGAGGGTGCTAATGATGAATAAATCAGTTTCAGCCGGGTATGTCAGCGAGTTTCAAATACGGCTGCTCCAATTGTACAAAAATCACTCAAATATTTATTCGAAATTCGACTCTCAGTGTTCGAATATATCTCGCTGGTAAGCTTAGTAGGCTCTCTTTGTGGCTGGTCATTTTTTGAAAGCGGTTTTTTTTTGCTACAGTTTTCATGAAAATCGGTGAAAACCTCAGTTTCGGAGGAATTTACGCCACAAATAACGCAAATACCAAAGGAATGAAAACCCAGCATGCAAACTGTGTTCAGCCGCTAGAGCTAAGGCACAGACCCTTTCTGCGTCGAACACTTTTTGGAGCCAAAAGTGCCAGAGTGAAGACACAGCATGCAGGCTGTGACCTCCCCTGTAGAACTAAGGCAGATTTTTTCTTTGGCTTCAGAGCAGGTTTTCTTTTTCCCATAATTTTTGTGAATTCGTTGAAAAGCCTGGAATTACTTTAATCAGAACTCGATTTACGCCACAGAAGATGCATTTTCTCGCCGAATGATGACCCAGCATGTATCTGCCTTGGTCAGCTTTGTTAACACGTTGACGACGGTGTCGCGCAATGGTGCGCGACACTTTTAATGTGCACAATGGTTCCGATTTGTGTTCGTGTAATCAAGTTAGGCTCGAGTATCTCATGTTGGTCCCGCCCCTTTTTTAGCAAACTCCGCCCACTCCATTGCCCTGTACAAAAAACTTTCTTCGTTCTCAAATCGCATAGAAAAGCTCGCAGATGACAGGGAAACCTTAAAGGCAGCGGCTCGGCAGATTGACCTACCTCAGATTTTGACACAGATGGATAGGAAGCCCTCCAAGTGAACCAAAACAGCAACTCCGCGCCGAAAATGTAAACTCTGCAAGCCAGGGGGCGGCCCAAGCGCCGCTCCCCTTCCTCCTTTCGCTCCCCTAACACCTTGTTCCGACGAGTATTCTCCGCTAGACGGCGCGGGACCCCCCACCGCTTCCCCGCATTGTGCGTGCTATACAAAGCCAAAATTACAGGCAGCAGGGTCTTCGTGCCAGGGCCTCCCGACTTTCCTTTGAGAACTCTCGTACAAGCTCCTTTTGGAAATTGAAAAAAAAACGCCCCGAAAAAGGCCTTTTCACCCCTTTTAAAGCTCAGATTCGGGATCTAGGGGTCGAGAAGGCCCAAAACATGCAAAAAGATGGAAATGCAAAATCTGCCGAGCCGCTGCCTTTAAATAATCTTAATTTTGACCCCGCCCCCCGTAATGCAGGCTCCACCCCCACTGGCAAGCCCGCCCACTTTTCAAAAATGCCGCAGTTTGCACGAATTCATTGATTTTGAGCAATTTCCAGCATTTTTGAGAAGTGGGCGGGGTTGCCAAAAGTGGGCGGAGCTGCGCCGCCCACTTGCATTTGCGTATCTCGCGCATAGATGCATGCATATAAATGTGCAGCCGGCTGTGAAAATGCCCGGGAACGGTTCGTCCACAGGGACAGACCTTCAAAAAATGGCTCGTCGTCAACGTGTTAACTCAGACAACTGCATCGGGAGGTTCGCGGGTGCTTGCTCGGCCACCAATCATCCATGCCGCGAGCTGCCCGGTATGAACCGATATTGGACCGATAAGTGACCGCGGCGCATCCTGTAAGCGCGCGATAGATGACCCGATTAGCATGCTTGTGAGGCCTAGGAAGAGTGAAAAATCTTTTGGCCTGTCTTTCATGACAATGACTTGAGTGCAAATTGAGCAACTTGTTGGCTCATCTTCGACATCATTTAATGTCGTCGATAACACTCATCCGACTGCTGGAGTTGGTTTCGTAAGCATAAAAACTTAACTATCAGACAGGACCAAACCCAAGAAGCGACTACCAACCCTTACAAACACTTAGGGTAGCCCCATCACTGCGGCGTACCCCACGCGGGTTGCGCCTTAACCTACAGCGTGTAAGAAGTACGGCCTTTGATAAGACCCGCGGCCCGCCGAATGATGTGATTGGGCCGCGACTCTCCCGATAACCTCTTCCCAATTTCAACTTTGGCCGCGGCGTTCCCAGTGAAATTTGCATGGGCCGCGGCGTGTGCGGCTGAAATTTTAAGGGCCGCGGTGCGCCTTGTAACACGCTTTGAGGCCGCGAACTTTCCGATGCAATTGTCTGAGAAGGAGGCGATTCTGTTAATTGTAACTAAGCAACGAAAAAATCAAGCTGTATCAAACAGAAATAATTCTCGGTGATTGGAAGGAAAGGCTAGACAGTATTAATGGTACAGACAGTATAATTTTGTGTCTACCTGCAAAGTTGTTTTATTTATCAGCTTTTTTAGAAAAGAAACGCCGTTTATGCAATCCCTACCATAGTTGCGATAGGAGGTGATGGATCTTACCCCCTTCACTTTGAGGCCAAACTCCCAATGACCCCATTCATCTGGACTGAGATTGGTATTGTACACTGAGAATATGATAAAAATCGTTATTAGAAGGTTTTGCAAGCTAAGTACCTCAAACAACAAGTACACTCATGAATTTACAAAACAAACGTTATTTATGTTTATTTATATTATTTATTTATCTTCGTAGCATTCATTTGGAGAGAGAAAGTGAGGACACAAAATCAGTCAATTTTTGAAGCAGCACATAAAATCCCTGATATCTCGCGGCACAGAAGACCTAGAAAGAAGTCGACGGTCTAGTCGATTCTCCATGATCTCAGCTTTCGAATGGTATAATACAGAAGTTAGGGCTTCTTTGCTTCCCTGCTTTAAAAATCATCTGCTCCGTGACCCATAAAAGCCAACACATTGTATAGGTCGTCCCGAAAGTTTTTGCGCACGATTTTCAAAAATTTATAACTTCTGATTTTTCCAACCGATTTGACTGCTTTCACTTTTATGTAAAAGGGTAAGTCTTTACAATGGCATCTCAGCTGCTTAGTAATGGTCATCTTTTGCATAGATAGGAGCGATAGAAAATTGGTCAAAAGTTGAATTTTCTGTGTAGGGCCATGAAATCGGAGACCTGCAACAAAAATCGAAGCAGTTAGTATTGTAGGTTCTTTCACCAGCTCTTTCTAACAGTGCAAAGTTTGCGCCGATTGAGCATCTCTATAAAAAGTTGTGATTTCCCTGAAAAATGTCAAAATAAACCAAATTCGCCCTTTCGTATTGCTTGCAACTTTTCATAGAGACCCTCAATCATCGCAAACTTTGCACTGTTAGAAAGAGCTGGTGAAAGAACCTACAATACTGACTGCTTCGATTTTTGTTTTTTGACCAATTTTTATCGTTCCTATCTATGCAAAAGATGACCATTACTAAGCAGCTGAGATGTCATTAAGAGCATGACTTACCCTTTTACATAAAAGTGAAAGCAGTCAAATCGGTTGGAAAAATCAGAAGTTATAAATTTTTTAAAATCGTGCGCAAAAACTTTCGGGACGACCTATACAATGTGTTGGCTTTTATGGGTCACCGGAGCAAATGATTTTTAGAGCCGAGAAGCAAAAAAGCCCTAACATGCTTTATACCATTCGAAAGCTGAGATCATGGAGAATCGATAGACCGTCGAGTTTTTTCTAGGTCTTCTGTGTCGCGAGATATCAGGGATCTTATGTGCTGCTTCAAAAATTAACTGATTTTGTGTCCTCACTTTCTGCTCTCCAGATGAATGCTACGAGAAAGTCGAAGGTCTACGTTTGTTAATGAAGGCTTGCTCTTTAACACAGATAGATAATCGGCAGTGATTAGATCTTCATTTGACAGAAATCTGCTGTTGAAAATGACCATGTTTTCAGATAAAATGCGGTGTATCTCTCGGTAGAGGGAAGCTAGAAAGAAGTCGACGGTTTAGGTCGAATCCCCTTTTCCTGAGCTTTCGAATGGTATAAAGGTTGCTGGGCGTAAAAACTAACCAGTTTTCAAAAATGGGGTGGAGATATTTACTACTGCTCCACCCAGCTCCACCAATGGCTACCAGAAGACCAGGAAAATGATCACAAAAGCGCTTAGAAGAAGAAGAAGAAAGTTTCAAATCCATTTTCGACTCGTTACGCTTTTGCACGCAATTCTACCTCTATTCCGATGACCTTTTGGAGGAAGAAGAAGATTTTTCAGGCAGCACACTTGTTGTCTCTGACGTTAGCGATAGTGATATTGTTGATGATGATGTTCAGGAATTGAAGTTGTTCCTAACTTGTACATCTTTTGGGATAAACCTTATTGCTTTCGTTTTTTGCTGATGCAATGAAACAGGAGCACAGATCTTTATAAAGTCAATTTTTTTGATTTTTAATTTCTTTTTAAATTTTTTAATTTTTTTTTCAATTTGTGCCTAAATAAGGTACAAATTAGAGCTCTTCATACCACGCTTTTTTACCTTTTCTCTCTTCCTCCCCCCCCCTAGACTCACATACCCCCTTCACCCTGGAAGGTCGGGAACAGCCGAGACCCCCTTCACCTGAGGAGAGCCTGGCTCCCTCTATCGCTCGCACCTATGATCCCTACTGAGCAAATACTAATGTATCTGCGCCGACCCACTTACAAAGCGAACCGTAGGGTCGCTCTTCTTTGATATCATTAGCTTCTGCAGAACAAGGAAACAAGGCATTGAGATTTCTGAATTCAAGGACCACCTAGCGTGCTCGAATATTGCCTTTCATCGCGTCGCTTTGAAAACCTAAATCTTTCCGATAAGAACCCTTCAATTAGTTTCGGAATCCACGACAAAGGTAATCTTACTGCATTTTTTTTGCTGTTTATTCGATTCTAATGCTCAAACTTTTTCTAAACATCCACGCAACATCTAGTTTCCTGCACAATCCATCTGGTCGAGTGAGCATTTGATATTTATTAAATTTTTCTACATCATGAATATTTATACTCTATCAACATAACAATGACAATTACTCAAATATGTGATCAGCACCATTGTAAATTAGCTCTAGAATGATAAACCCGTGCGAATTAGAGTTATGTGACCATACAAGAAATACTTCTGATTGTAGCTTTTTCCTGCGGGCAGGGTCGCACAAAATGAACTTTGACCCTTTCGGGAACATTCCACGATTTGAAAATCCGTCGGAAAATGTTACGATATTCAGAGCTGCGTTGGTAGCATACGTAGAATGTTTGAGCAAAACAAGTCATCTGCAGCACGCTCTGCAAACTTTTTATCGTAAAACTGCAGTTCATGAAATTTCTTCTGTACTTACCACGATCATCCGCACCCAGTTCGCCCACAACTCGGATTTGATGGACTCCATTACATTCATAAGAACAATGGACAATACCCATGTGCATGTGTAGACGATGATAAGAACAGATATGGTACGCATTGTCTTGCGATGTTTGTTTCGGTAGCATGCGTTCTTGTTCTTCCGCATAAATATTGTTGCTGAACATTTTTCGTATGAGTAAAGTAAGCCAGATTGTAACACATTGAAACAAGAAACAAAATTCTGCTTCGTGACGTTATGACTTCGATGGAAACGAATTCAAACAATATAAGCAAATTCGAACGTCTGTGCATGTCTATCTGTCTGTATATATGTTCCGAAAAGAAAAATCTCTTATAAACCGTTCCGGACAGATACACTTCGGGTGGGGTAGGTGTCAAAAACTACTTTTCATTATAACTCGATTTTATCGATTTTTTGCAAAGTTTCAGACACGAGGCTGGGAGTCGGCACAGGAGGTAGAGTGCAGATTCTTTACCGGCCCTACAAATGTTTTCAAATTTGGAGGTAGTGAGCATGCTGTTCAAGAAAGCATAGTGGGCTCAGGGTCTGGCACACAGAATTGACCGAGACAGGAAAATGGTACGGAAGTAAGGCTTGGGGATTGACAGTGCCTGGCGGAACCGAGTATGCCAGATAGTATAAAATCAGTGGTAACCATACTTTCCACTCGGGGAAGGGGAGAGGGGGGGGGACGCGTGGCTTTAGCCAGGCACTCCAAGAAAATTTTGGAATGGACCCAGAAATTTTTGGGAAACAGTGGACGTGGCGGTAGTCATGACTCCAAAAGAAATTTTTCACAAGGCTAATCTGAATTTCTGAAAGTTTACAAAAGTTATCTAAATTATTTACAAGTATAAGCAAGTCACTTGCATATTTGTATAGCACATGTAAGTGACTTTCAACAATCTCGGGACCCATTTAGGGGAGGGGGGATTGGCAACTTTCTTTCAAAGTAGTGAACACTTGGTCAGTAGCGGGCAGAGAAGAGGTTGGAGAGGAAATAGCATATTTACATTTCAAAATTTTCACCTTGGCGGAATATTATAAATTTTTGAAGATGTGTGATTGAGTGGGAATTGCCTTGTAGCTAGTTCACAATTCTGAATTTCTTAATCTCTGGCTTTTGATAAAGGTGGATGGTCTTGTCTCAAGTATTCTAGGATGTTATGGTTATACTCTTAAGCAATACAATAATTCCTGTGCTCTTTTCTGCTTGTTTCTCGCAACCCCACCCTGGCATCTGTACTCTATATAATGCTAGTTAAGTTTAGTTATAGGATTGAACATCGACTTTCAAAATTTTAAAACTCATTTTTAAAGCTCACCTCTGATATATATGATCAAATAACAGGTTGCATAAATGACCATTTGTGTGATGGCAATGATGTAATTGGCTATTCTGCCTACATTGGCTACAGTATCGTGTTGTATACTGTAGAGACTACAGTAGTAGCGGTCTTTTTGCCGAGTAGCTGAGTACATAGAAATCGTATATGCTATAGAAAGCAAGCCGCAGAATATCACGTTTACGACGACACATCGTCGCGTCGTCCATTTACGGTAACTGGAAAAAAGTTTCAAATTTTGTGCCCATAATATGGAGAAATTGTGTTCCACTCACAGTAATGGCACAACAATAGCGGAGAGTAGATCGAGAGATATGACGAGCATGACTAGCGATTGCCAGAACATTACGGAAGCAAATAGCGCAAAAATTTGTAAACATGAAGATTCGTCCAGTATTGGGGTAACAACTAAATAGCTTTGTTTCATTCTTGGTACAGTGCCATAACGCTGTCTTTTCTAAAAACACTGTAAAAACTTGAACTCACTTAAAAATGCTGTGTTTAGAAGACCTCCAACTATGCAAACGATATGCGTTATTGATAACTGCACAAGCAACATCCCTGCAAAATGACGAATCATTACGATAATTTTCGAGCTAATGTTAAATCTGTACAAATCTGTACAAAAGCTGAACGCCTATTTGTATGTATGTGTATTTGTTTTATATGTATACGAGCTGGCAAACCCGACTCCGCCCGGTCCTGTCAATAATGTATTCGAATCAGCATGTTCACTTACCCCTCTCCCCACCCTGCACACCCTGCACACCCTGTACATCCCGCACACCCTGCACCCGAATGTGCACAAACACACAAACTCACAGATTTTCTGCTTTATATATATAGAGAAGATATGGTGTCCCAGGCTACTTTTCGCCGTTGATCAATATCGATTTTATTGATTTTTTGCAATGTTTGAGCCACGCGGCTTGGAGTTGGCACGAGGGGGTAGGTGAGCATGCTAATTAACGCTATGTTGTTGACAGCGTCGGGCGGAGCCGGGTCTGCCAACTAGTTTGAAATGAAAAAGGAAAAAAAGGAAAGTGAGGAAGTTCTGCTTTTCTAAGCAAAATAGAGGTTTGGCGAATGGTAATCATTAAAGTTCTCATGCTTGTTAGTGTAATGGGCTAATAACAAGCAAGTTTGTTATTTTTAAAAATTAGTCGTGTACAGATGTTGATTGCTTCAAAAGTCCTTTCTCCGCTACTCTACTACTCCGCAACTTTTATAAATGAAGAAAGAAAAAGTCATGCTTTTTTGACATCCAGATAGAATCAGTGCTAATTACTAAAATTCTAAGCTAATAACTAGATATGTAGTATTTTACTAGTGAACCAGCAGTTAAAGGTGCTTGATTGCATCCGCGCGCTTCGGGACCGCCACGCGGTGTCCCGCTATTTGCACATTTTTGAATTGCGCTTACGTTTCTTTATATATTAGATAGATTGTGAGATAAGAGGACATATCTAAATCGATTTACTCAATTTAGGTAAATAGGAGAAACTGATTTGTATGAGTTTCAGAGTGGTGGAGTAATACACATTACGTTTATTACTTGAGTTAGTGAAAGTTAACCTCCTAGGGTAGACGTAGAATACCAAATAGCGTACCGATATGCATTATGTTAGAGTTTTGCCCTGTTCAGATTCAGGTACTTACTCTCATCCATTTCAAAAACGAGGGAGTACGGCAATGGCGTACAGAGTGTCCCAAAAATGCGCCTACTGATTGATTGTTAATAACTCCATTGTCACGAAGTTTTCCGTAAAGCCCTAAGTATCATTTTGTAGAGCTGCCTTCAGCATAGATTTGCAGTATGGAGCGAATTATCGTTCGCTTTTTATTACTGTGGGATTACGATGGGCACGGAGGGTCTATTAAGGGTCATATATTACTTTCAAATAAAAAAAAAGACCAAGGAAGCTGAAAACTCCTAACTGGGTTAATCAGATCCGCTAATTTCAAAAATGAAATTCGCACTTTACCATGACGTTTCTTCCATAAGTTATGCCACATATAATAACCAATTTCTGATATTTGTTAAGAATCTTATTACGTTAACAGAAAAGCTCCTCGAAGACGCAGAAAGTTATTTGGTGAATTCAGCATGCATAAAAACCTTGTTACACAATTTTCCAGATTTTTGTGATACTTTGTATCAGAACTGTATGGAAGCAAATATTGAACTTTATAGTGTAAAAAAATTCCTCAAATACAGAAACATTGATGTTTGATCTGTGAAAGGAGAAAAGACAGTACGTAAAACTTGAATCTTGCTTGCTTCAAATTAAGCAGGTGAAAGCTTCGAAAATAAAATAATCGAAGGATAAAAAGAATTACAAGAATTTTACAGCCATAAACAAAAGTTTTATATTTCACCTACCGTATTTTGTTTGAATCTCCTTTGTTTTGTAGGTAGCATATAGGATAACATAGTGTCCGAATAAACCAGCTGTAGCTAAGACGATCTGCACAATACATACAAGAATAGCGATAGTCGCATTGAGCACCCTTGCATTATCAGGAGGCATTCAGAAAAGCGACATAGGTGAGACGTGTAGCGATCTGGAACTACTCCCTGTATTAATTTATATTCAACGTTTGGCGAGCAAGATCACGAATTCAGCGGACTGGCCCGTTTTTTAAGAGAACAGTGTGGCCATATTCATCACATTTCAATATGTGATTTCATAATGTCAAAGATCGAAATCGGTAGTTATGAGGGGTAGCGTAGTGGCCTAAGGCCCCGGACAGACTTCACGCGACTTAATCGTCGCGATCTAATCGCCAAAATTTCCATTCATTTTCATTTCACATTCAAAAATTTCGGGCTGGAAAAGATCATCACAACCGAATGCAAGTTGATCGGCATGGCATGATGTTGTAACAGTTGTCTCGTCGCGATTCAGTCGCGACGATCAAATCGCGTGAAGTCTGCGCGGGGCCTAAGGGGCCGCTATGAACCCGGAGTGAACGAAATGTCTACTATCTATTTTCCGGGACGGTAAATTGGTACCAGAGTATTCTGGAAGAAGCAAAGAACATTTGCTTCCGCATTATGATGAACGCTCGAAAACACTTGGTCTTGAATACCTCTCATATCGTAGAGTTATTCACGATCTTGTTCTTGCATTTGGGATTTACAGGGGAGAAACTAAACTGAGTCCTTCCAAGTATTGGGTATTCAAGCCTAGTCATGGAAGGACCAGCGGATTTTCTATTTATCTACCAACAAGCGGTGGGCGAAATCAGTTTTGCACCTTATTAGAAAGTGATTTTTTTGTTCGTGCATCGAGAATGCTGGAAAAAATACCAAAAGAACTTTTAGCCTCCAACAACAGTATATCATTCAAACGTGAAATCAAAAAGCTGAACTTGGATGATTTCTTTCTTTGCAGATAGAGCTTCTCTTCATTGTTTTATGCTCACTTTGCCAGCCACACGTGCTTTCCTGACTTCCCATCAGCACATGCGTCCGACAATCTTAGTTTATATCTACTTTGCTAGATTTGTTCTTCTACTAACCCAGATTTTTACCGCATAGTTTCGAGCCCAGCCTACCTACTGCCACGCACTAGTTTGGTACAGCTTACCAATATAGACTGATGCTTGTCCGATTTACAATATATTTCAAATTTCCTTGGAGCTTTGTACCCTCCCCGGCAAACTGTGTTGGGCGGGGCTGCCAGTATACCCGCCAGCCGAACTTCCGGTTTGCTATTATGAAATCAAAATAAGATCGTTCCTTGCTGGCAAACGAGGGGGCATGGGTACTTCTCCAGAGTGTTTCCCCACAGAGTTCACGCAAGTGCAAGCATTGTTATCTATACGCGTTTACGCAAGCTGCTTCTACACAATCTTTTCTCTTATAAGCTTAGTCCGGGCTTGAAAGATGTGGTGTAATGTTCATTATTGTTGTGTTTCATGTATTACTAACACATTTTTGTCAATGTTTGGAATGCCCAGAGCGTATCTAATGAAATGAAATGAAATGAAACTGATTTAGTATCTCAATAAGAAATAAGTACTTTAAAGATTCGCAAAGCGTTCAGCCTTCAGTAGCCTGTTTGAATGGAGTAATATGTAATGAGTTCTTTTGCATTATTCTTTTTTCTGCATTTGTACAGCTTGCAGCAAAATGCGCATGTGTATTTCAAAGCCCTACATTGCTTCGACACTTAGCTTTGTTTCCCAAGTTAGAGGCTTTGGAAATATGCTGATGACTTAAAAATCAATTTTGAAACTATGCCACGTCGACTGTGATAATTTAGAATGCTAACAAGGGAAGGTTTAGACAAAGTCGCGTTATTGAAGATGATGCATGCCGATGGACAGAGCATAAAACGCTGGTCTTTGACGCAGACTTACTCAAACTCAAACTTTCACGCAGCACTAACGTTCTTTTGAGTTTCTTTAGAAAGTTCCGAAACTCTTAGAATAGTATTAGACAGTCAGTGAAGAGTAGAGAGCGAATATAAATAGTGACAAGACTTCTATGAGTTGATTGGTTGTATACAATAACAATGGAATACCTGGTGACACAAGTGAAACCTCCTCGAATCTTTCGTTTTGAAGCAGAAAATTTCTATGAATTTTCTTGCAAATAGAGTATATGATGCAAATTATTTTGTAGAGACGATTTGGAGTCAAAACATTGAAAGCACATAAACAATTTGCCAAATATGTACGATTTCAATTTTAAAGAGATAACTGAAACGAAAGATGAGATTCAATAGCGTCCGCAAACAGTATCAAAATGCTCAAGAAGTTTTTGCCCATGCTTACGTACAACAATGAGGAAATGCAATTACCGTCCACTGACAAAAGAATAACGAACAAGAAGAATAACAGGTGAACTCCGATTGGTAAATAAGTGTAGCACCTGGATCGGTAGGCTTTTTTCGGCTTAAAACAAACAATATGCTCAAGCGGCATGGATTCCTAGGAAAAGTAAGAAAGAAAATCATTGCATTTGCCGAATTATCCACAAAAAGCTCTCCCTTTTGAATAATTTGCGAGAGTAAACTTGAAGATTCGAGATTCGAGAAGGAAATCATAGCTTACAATGAGCTCTAACATGATAAGCGAGTGAGCCTATAATTTCAGCGTTGTTTTTACTTGCAGGGCTCGGCACGAGGTGGTAGTTGAAAATGCAAAAAACGAAGTCCCCCTTAATTTTTGCGAATTTTTACTATGTCCCCTTTGACCCTACACCATATTCCCTGAAAATCCAAAAATGAAACGTCGACTAAAAATAACGCCGCAAATTTTGTGTCTTTTCGGCCACAAAATTGAAACCCCCTTTGCTTTTCGTCCCAAAAACGATATCCAGTTTACTTATAAAGCACCTGTGACGAGCTCTGCTTATTCAAATGAGCAGCGAAAAGATAAACTTGTTTCGCTTGTTACATTTTGAAGCCAACTTATGCTACATAGTTTCACAAAGAGACTATAAAAAATACATAATGTCATTGATGTCCATATGTTGTTTATTTCGCGCCATGCATTTATTGTCATTTGCATTACTATTGCAGACTAGTATCAGAATAGATTTGTGGACAAGGAGGCAAAAAAGTCTTGGCGAAAATACGCGGTCTATTTTCAAGCTAGAAAATGTCTAAGAAACAACAAAATTGGTGCTTTTACAACAGAACCCTGATAATGTTTGATTGTCAATAAGGAAATGAAAATACAGAATGCCTAAACATGCATTCCGAACAAGCAAAAATTCGTATTCACATCTTGCTACTTTGCAAGGAAGACATTTTTACAAGAAATTTCTAGATGCTTTCTAGCTGCAATTTAAGGAAATAACGCAAATATCTTGCTCAGAACAGTAGGAATTATAATGACGTGAGTTCTGTCATTATCCAAGCCATTATAATTTACTTATCTTCTAGCTAGAAACTTGTACCCAAAGTTTTTCATGGGAAATAGTTCTACGGAAAGGGTGAAAATAGCATGGTAACTTTATTTTGACTAGACTCACATAGGTAGTACGCCAAGTGCGACATGATTCATAAGATCTTGAATGTTTTTATTTTGGGTAATTTTGTGCGAAGATGGAAATGCATATATAAAGTCGGACAGAGATCAAGATATAGTCCAAATGGTAAAATGATGGTGTAATTTGAGACTGACAAGGGAATGGTCAGAAGTCGAAGTGGCCAATCCAAACAAGCTGCATACCATTAGATGCAGCATAAAACGCTGACTCAAAATCTGTCTTCCTTATCTGCAGAGCGTTTTTGTGGACGAAGTTATAAGCCGTTGAAGGCCATTATTTTGCTAAGAAATTGTGCGTATAAAGTGCAAACTTGGCCGCACAAAGCCATTCTCGGCTCAGTGTTGGACCAAAACATATAACTAGGTCCCTTCATATGACCCGTACCTGTAGTTGAGCTGAAAGAGCAGTAATGTGCCTAATTTTGCAATTTTTGTATACGGTTTTTTCGCAGTAAAGCTCATCATAACTTCGCTTACAAAAGCGCTCTGCAGATATGGAAGACAGATTTGAAATCAGCGTTTTATGCTGCATCGTATGGTATGCAGCTTGTATGGATTGGTCACTTCGACTTCTGACCATTTCCTCGTGAGCTATAACTGCATAAAGGGGGGCAAATAACATATAACCTATTTCCTTGATTTCAACACAAGATCATGGAAGTGAGACATAGTATTGTGAAACACCATGGAAGGGAAATCATAACAAATCGAAGGAGGGTGAACAAAATCTTTATTGCGACAATAAGAACTCGTTTCCTTTTTTCTAGTATGTCGGAATACTCTGAAAAACTGACAAATGAGAACTTCGGTAAATCGTTGAACGCAACGAGAACAGGATGCCCATCAACAACATTGATGGGCATTCCGAAACGGATAAGTGTGGAAGTAGCAAAAAATGTTTTTATTGTAGTCTACAGCAGTTTTCTCGAATTTGTTTGGCTGTTAGTCGTGATCCATACGCTTCAAAAAACCCATTACCTATGCGGTAACAACGTGATGCTGAATCATAGCTTTAGTTGATTATCAAAATATTTGGGTCTATCTTTAGCAAAACAATGGCAAAACACAACGTTGCATTGCTTTCGTAATCGACTTACAACTCAGAAGATTTTGCACACTACATAACCATGGCTGCAGCCACATCGTTAACACGAAAGATCTATGATGAAAAGGAAGGTGAGTCAACGAGAAAGATCAGACTCACAAAGATCTAGTGATTAGAGGGGGAGGAATGGAGAAAATTTTCTTGAGATGAAGGTTCGGGCGTTAGCCACGCACTCCGCCAAGTTTTCTGGGATGCTTGAAATTTTCGGGCTCATAACCCGAAATTTCAGAAAAGAGAGGCGTGGTGGCAGCCACGCCCTGAAAAAATTTTTTTGCGAGAATAATTTGGATTTTCGAAGATTTTTAAATATTCTCTCAAACATTTACAAGTATAAGCAAGTCACTACAGCTTTTTTTTCAACTCATGCAAGTAACTTTCAATAATTTTGCGACCCATTCTGAATGGGGAGAGAGTGGGGGG